ATTTAATTTTTAAATATCTGCCGACTAGACCCACCGTTTATTTGTTCCAACTGCCAATTTTTTATGTCAATCACTGAAACAGGGAGGTATTGTGCCCATACTGAGCTGACTCATTAAACACTCCCTTAAGAGCTATTCACTCCAGGCTTCCTTCTTGAGCTCAGGTTCAATGTGGATGTGGCTATGCTCAGTAAGACTCTCGGGTATAATCCTGGTACACTTTTCAGGTCCATGAACATTTCTCAGATGTTCTACCTTATCCATAGCCAGCCTTAACCACTGTTCAGCAGGAGGGAGTCAGGATCATGCACAGATCTAACATAATTACAGCCGAATTCATTATGACCTGTTACTTATTCTGTGCAGTCTTTAATGGGTAAGAATATGATGTATGCTAGCTTAAAAAAAAAAATACTGGTAAGAGTCTCGGGATCTCAGGTTAGGACCCATTACCACATTTCATAATTAGCACTACACCACTCTAAGCAATTCAGAAAGACACATTACTAGATACATTACTAACTTGAGAGAGAGAGAGAGACTACATCTAAAACATATGAGGGTGGGGGGGTGGGAGGAGTAAAAAAAGAAGGGAGGAATGTTCTACATTTTCCTTTTTTTTTTTTTTTTTTTTTTTTAGAGAGAGCACGCATGAGCAGGCAGGGGGTGGGGGCTGAGGGAAAGGTAGAGATAATCTCAAGCAGGTTCCATGCCTAGCACAGAGCCCTATGCAGGGCTCGATCTCATAACCCTAAGATCATGACCTCAGCTGAAATCAAGAGTCAGCTGCTTAACTGACTGAGCCACCCAGGCGCCCCTACATTTTCAATAAAAATATGCAAGTCTCATATGTAACGTTAAGTTTTCCAAAAGCCATATTAAAAAAGTAAAAAGATAAAAATTAATTTAATAATATATATTTAACCCAACATATCTAAAATATCTTTTTAACAAGTAAAAAAATCAAGAAATCGTTGATATTTTACTTTTTTTTTTAAAGACTATTTATTTATTTGACAGAGAGACACAGCAAGAGAGGGAACACAAGCAGGGGGAGTGAGAGAGGGAGAAGCAGGCTTCCCGCTGAGCAGGGAGCCCGATGCGGGGCTCGATCCCAGGACCCGGGGATCATGACCTGAGCCGAAGGCAGACGCTTAAGGACTGAGCCACCCAGGCGCCCCGATGGTTTACTTTTCATTCCAAGTTCAAAATCTGGTGTATACTTTACACTTAGAGCACCCCTCAATTTGGACTAGTCACATTTCAGGTGCTCAATAGTCACACATAGCCAACGGCTATTCCATTGGAAAGTACAGGTCTAAAGTATACCCTGGAATATCCCACTTAAAAAATCTGGCACAAGTCCCCCAAGAATTAAAGGTCTCCCAAACCTGAACTTTCAAAATCTAAAATTTTGGGAATTTAAAAAGGACTGGGCTAGAAAGAGTACCATTATTGAAAAAAGCAAAAAATATCTGTAAGACATTTAGAAGAATGTCTCTTTATCTTTGTTTATAATGTTTAATTCTGGAGGCACCAGAAAAGGGGGCTGGGGGCAAACAAAAGGAGAAAAGGTCTCTAGGATAACCATTCTCATTCATCCATCTATACATCTACCCCTCCAACCATCCCCCCAGCCTTTCTTCTACTCACCAAATACTTATTATTCATTGCAATCAACTTGGCAGTCACTATCCACATTCTGGAGCTACATAGGTACATAAAAAGTCCTTCTCATGATTCCTTACACTTCCTTACCGGTATTTTTGAAATATACTCATGTATACTCTTTAACATGTCCAATGTAACATTGTAAAAGCAAAAGATTATACCAACAAACTAAATGTGTGTTAATAGAGCTCTTATTAAATAAGAACTTAATTGAATGGTACAGCTACATAATGGAATACTATGTAGCTCACAAATCAACCAGGTAGTACTATGTGTACAAATGAGGGAGAAAAACAAAACAACCCAACTGTATCAGTCACACTGTTAAAAAAACAAAACAAAACATGGTGCACCTGGGTGGCTCAGTGGATTGAGCACCCAACTCTTGGTTTTAGCTCAGGTCCTGATCTCAGGGTCCTGGGATCCAGCCCCAGATCGGGCTCCATGCTCAGGAGGAAGTCTGCTGGAGATTCTCTCCACCCCCCTCCTGCTGCATGGGTACTCTCTCTCTCTCTCTCTCTCAAATAAATAAATAAATCTTTAAAACAAACAAACGGGTGCCTGGGTGGCTCAGTCGTTAAGCGTCTGCCTTCAGCTCAGGTCATGATCCCAGGATCCTGGGACCGAGCCCCGCATCGGGCTCCCTGCTCCGCGGGAAGCCTGCTTCTCCCTCTCCCACTCCCCCTGCTTGTGTTCCCTCTCTCGCTGTGTCTCTCTCTGTCAAATAAATAAAATCTTTAAAAAACAAACAAACAAAAAACAGTGGGCAGAACCAAGTGTTAAAAAGAAAATAATTGGGGTGCCTGGCTGGTTCAGCTGGCAGAGCATGAGACTCTTGTTCTCGGGGTTGTGGGATCAAGCCCCATGTTGGGTGAAGAGATTACTTAAAAATAAAATCTTAAAAAAAAAATTAACAGATACACAGATATGTTTGCATATGCAGAGACCATCTGATGGGCCCACAGGAAAATAAGTTATTGCCTCTAAGGAGAAGACGTAGCAGGGACAGGAAAGGCAAAATTACTTTTCACTGAATATTCTTTTTAACCTTTTGAATTTTTGTCCCATATATATATATTACCTATTCAAAATATAAAGGAAAAGGTTTAATGCTCACCCTCAAAAACTCATGGTAAAGTTGGAGAGAAGACATAGCAACAAAAACTAGTAAAATGTGATGTAACATCAGTGTGCATGAAGTACAATAAAACAGGGGATGGCATGATTAAAACATTGCTTGGATGGCCGAAAGCAGAATTTGTCACATGGACTCTATTTATCCATAAAAATAAGCTATGAATGGTACCTACACCCTCAGACTAATTCATCCTACAAATGTCCTTTCCTGACACACCAAAGTAAAGTAAAATTGTCAGACTCCCAACATTCTACAAACCCCTTACCCTGGTATTGTTGACTCTGTACACAGCAGAGCTGTCGGTGATAGAAGTCTGAGTATCTCTGTAAAGGCCAGTTAACAACTATAAAAAAAAAAAACAATTTGAGGAAAATCAGGATAAATACATAAATAGCAAACCTAAAGAGAGTAATTTTGTTCTAACTTTCCAATGGGTCAGGTCAAATAAATGAATGTTGCTTGCAACAACTGAAAAGGACGATATTGTTTTTTCCTTGTAGAAAAATCTAATTCATTGCATCTTCATTCCCCTCTTCACAATGAAAAACAAAAACAAAAACAAAAAACCTAGTTTCAAATGGTTAGTGGCCAAATTCACCAAACTTCCATAAACATTTTAATCATCACAAATGATTACAAATTATTTTTCTGTAGTGGAAAGGAAATAATTTATCCCCTCAAAAGGAATAATAAGAAAACCTCTGCTACTCTCCATAACAAAAAATCGTTTAAAATACTAAACAGATTAAGTATTAGTGAAAACATGGCTAAGTAGCCCAATATGTCAAAGAATCAACCTTTTAAAAAACTTCTTTGACAAGTTCTCAGACGAGTTTGTTACACAAGAATTATACACCCTATACAGATCACTGTCTTCCATCTCTTCAGCATCCTTGGCAACCACATGAAAGTAGTTACATAAAACCCTTAAATGGGATAAGGACTAAATGTCAGTATCTGGCAAGTGCAAGAAAATAGAAATGGTCAAGAAATTCCAGTTTATGAATTTTTCAAGAGCCTTTTCAAGTTTTTCAAGTCTTTCCAAGTGAATGAAGAATTAACTCCCCAATTGTGAGCATCAGCTTCCTTTCCAAAATGAACTATGACCTCACAGGAATAATGGGATGGCCTAACATTTCCTATCAACTTTAGAAGAGCTTTAAATCAAAACATTTACTCTGACAAAGAGCAATGTCTTCCCAGAGTCACACAGGCCAACAAGAAGTACAGCTCTTTGACTGCTCCTTCTGCTCCGGATGAACTTCCAGAACACTGTGGAATAGAGAAAAACAACCAAAATTATGCCTTGATCATCAACAGTACGCCTGTATGGTGGTTGGGGTAGGGAAATTAACAGAAGTCTATCACAGAACACCTCATTCAGCTGGACCTTAACTTTTACTGTTTTTACCACCATTATAATCGTTACTGTTGTTGTTAGTGTTACCGGTGGGAGAGTCTGCGCTGAGTGAATGGAGGTCTGGGTTCTTGGATTCCCCATAAACGTGTGATGTTGTGCCCCCAGGCTTCTAATGTGTAACCTATTTATCAACGTCCTTGCCTCCAGCTCATGTCTAACCAACTGCCTACTCTATCATTAGGGACTCCACTGAGTGCCTGCCACTATCAACTGTCAACCTTTCCGTGTCTGCTGATTGTGGACTTCTCAAGTGCAATCTTGTCTTATTAACTGTGTATCCCCAACGCCCAGGACGCAAATTTGGGAGTAAAGACCGCGTGAGTCTTGGTAGTGAAAGCAAAGAAGAGGGGGCGGGGGGACTGCGCGCTTACAGGGGCCGATAAAGGAAGAGTAACCCGCGCCCCCAAGGACCAGCACGTCACTCCAAGGGTCGCAGGGGATCCTCTTTAATGCAGCGCTACTCCCGCTGTTTCAGGCAGCAAGGCAGGTTTGTATATGAGGTTGAGTCTCCGTCTCTAGATGCTCCCCCGGCGCCTTCGCCGCCCCGCGTCCGCGGTCTGCACAAGCCCAGTCCAAGCCCAGAACCCCGCCGCCTCTTTACCCAGCGTCAGCAGCACCGCGAGAAGCGCCGCCACGGCTGACAGCAGTGTTGGGTCCCCCTGCTGCAGCTCCTGCCGCAAGGAGTCTAGATAGGGCTGGAAGGCTCCGCCGACACTGCCGCCATTCGCCATCCGCCGGGAATCCGCGGAAGCCATGACTGAGATGCGTGGTCTCCAGCGCCGCGAAAGCGACGTGGCCCTGGATTCTGCGCAGGCGTCCGAAGCGGAGCATCACGGGAGTGGTAGTTCCTAAGTTATATTTCCTCCTTCAGGGGCCGGGGTCCCGAAGGTCCTGATGGGAGTCGCAGTTCTCTTGCACACTTTCCGCCGAACGAGCGGCGTTTCGCGGTATTTCACGAGTGACACTCTTATCCCTTAAGATATGAGTTAAATATCGCCGCCCTCTTCATGGGTGTTGACGGAATGATGGATGAATAAAATGAATGGCTTAAGAAATCTCCAGTGAGGATTTCCAGTCACTCCGTTCGCGAGGTGAGTTTCGTGAGGAGCTCAAGCCTTGCACAAACATTTCATCTGAGTATAATATGGCATGGATGTGACCGAGGATTACGGTGCGATATAGGAATACAGAAAGGGACTCCTAGTCCTTTACTGGTTCAGAGAAAAGCTCCTGGAGGAAAGTGACGGGAACTGAGCCATGAGGGATGGGTCAGCCTCTGCAGGTGTAAAAGGAGAAAGAGTACTCTGTGTAGAAGAAAACGAGCAATTCAGTGTCCTTGTACGGTAAATCTAGGGATGCAACTGAGATTTCGACATTGTGGGAAGCAGCTAGGAAAATCAGTGCGTGGGGGTGAAGCTGTTGAAAACTGCAGCAGTCATTCCTGCTCAGCGTGGACAGCCTCTACTCTGCCAGGCAGGCACGTGGGAGCAAAGTGGCCCGTGCTTCCAGCTTTTGCAGAGACGCCGGAAAGGGAAATGCTCCACTTTTCAAATTTCAGCAAGTAATGAAAAACATTAAAAACAAACAAACAAAAACTTGTCGCCCAAATAAAACACCTCAGTGGGGCACCTGGGTGGCTCAGTCGTTAAGCGTCTGCCTTCCGCTCAGGTCATGATCCCAGGGTCCTGGGATGGAGCCCCACGTTGGGCTCCCTGCTCAGCGGGGAGTCTGCTTCTCCCTCCCCCCCCACCCCCCCGCTTGTGTTCCGTCTTTCGTTGTGTCTCTCTCTGTCAAATAAATAAAATCTTTAAAAAAAATAAAATAAAACACCTTAGGGGGCCGGAAGTGGCCCACTTAGGGGCTGTCAGTTTGCAGTCCCTAAGCTGATGTCATTTCAGCAGAAGTGGCAGGAGATGAAGCAGGAAAGGTTGGCAGGTACGACCTGAAGGGATTTTGTGCTATGCTGAGGAACCCAGACTTCATCCAGAATGAGATAAGGAGTTTCAGTTGGAGGTAACATAGATGACTGGCAGATAAATGGAGAACGGTGATTGGAGAGAGGAAAAGACTGAGGCAGAGAGACCAGCTGGGAGCTGTTGCAGTGTTTTGGTAAAAGATGCACAGGGTCTGAACCAGGAGTAGAGGTAGGTGCGGAAAGGAGGCCACAGATTTGAAAGATGTGGAGAAGGAAAATATATAGGATGTGGTGATTAATTGGGTATGCTGAGTTAAGATGGAGAGTTACCAAAACTGCATCTGAAGCAGTTGGTGTGGGGTACTGAAAAGATCAGAGTGCATAAAGTGAATTAGAGAGGGACTTTGGGGCTGAGGGCATAACCAAATGAAAATTGCCTCTCTTTTCTATATATTGAGTTTCAGGTGCCTCTGGGAGTTCTAAAATCTTATATTAAGCAGTTGATAGAATAAACAGATGTAAAGTTTCAGCAATGCTATATTTTCATCTGAGTTTCAGGCATAAATAAATGGTCATTAAAATCAGGGACAGAAAGAAAAGTGAGGAGAAAGAAACCCACAAATATGCCTAAGAAGGAAGAGTCAGTGACACAGGAGTTAGACATGTCCTGGAAGTGGTCAGCAGCATCTCTTGTAACAGAGGGGCTCCTGTGATGAGGGCTTGAATGAAAAGTGAACTCAGAGGGAACAGTGAGGTGAGGGGGGGGGGTAGGGGCATGGGTATGGAAGCAAGACTGGTAGATGGAGAAGAGGATGGATAATGATGAAAATTGCTGCCATTAATGAGTGTTTGCTATTCCAGGCACTGTTTTAAATCATTTTAATTTGTTAATTTGCTTAATCCTCACAGCAACCCATTATTCCAATTTTACAGAGGCAAATGAGGCAGGGGTTAAGTAACTTATCCATTAAGCCCAGGCAGTGGTCTTCTTTATGCTTAACTCTATGCTCTAACGTAGTACAATTCATTCTCCAGGCATTTCATTGATAAATGTAGGCAAATAGGGACTCCAGATTAAGAAAGGATGTTTAGGATGTGAGGTTATAAAAAGTAAACCAACTATTTTATTTTAAATTAGCATTATCAATTAAAACTATCAGAAATGACAGTAATTTTACCATATTCTCTTTTTCTTTCTTTCTTATTGTACCCCACACCAACCCTGCTTTGTATCCACCACCCACCGTGTACATGCATACACACACACAGACACACACACACAGAGCTCCTTTATAATAACCATTGATTCCTCTGCTAGGAGCTAGAAGTGCAGGGAAGGAGGAAGGGCCAAATGGGAGAACACCTACCATGACTGTCCCAACCGTGTAAGAATTTTTAGTCAGAGCTATGTGAATGAGAAAGTTCTGCCTAGGTGGTGAAGTTTGGGAATGATGAAGGGAAGACAGTTTTAACAAGACACAGACTTTTTTTTTTTTCAGTATGTTTCCTGGGTAAAGACAGAGGAAATGTACACAGAAGAAATGTGGGAAGGTGGTGCCATTCTCAAGAATGAGAGCAGGAGAGGATCAGCTGCTTTCTTGTCCTCTCACATCTGCACCAACACACACTTCCAGGAGGTGTGTGGAGATGAACCCAGAGGAAGGACAGGCAGATACTGACTACTGCTTGCTGAAAGTGTTGTGCTTCTTCATTCAAATAACAAATGGAGAGTTACAATGAAATAAATATAGTGACACAATTTTTCCCTTTTTTCCATTAATTAAAATGTCTCATTCACCAGACACATTTTCCCCTCTTCTATTCCCAGTAGCTCCAAAGCATGGTGGAAACGATCTCAGACTCAGGGACACCAGTCACATGATTGGTGAGTGGTCAGCCGTATCAAGTGCAGTTAACAGACTCAGGATTGAAAGAATTAAAATTGGTTTTCATAGTTGACAGATGGGCAGTGACCTTGGCCAGGGTAGCTGCAGGGAAGTGAGTGGAGCAAAAGACTGGTTTGTGTGTTTTCAACCATTAATAAGTGAGGCGTGGGAAGAGTGAGGAGATAGGAGAGGGATTACTGTGGGAATCAGGGTCAAGCGATAATTTTCAGATGTTCCAGTGGTTCACTTTTCCGACCCACTAGAATCAGGACCTGATTCAAGTATAGCCTTCTCCATCTGGTATGGCTCCACCTTTTGGATTTTAAGATCTGTGGAAAGTGCAGGCCTCCAGGAAGTTCTGTGGGGCAGAGAAGAGAGGTAGGACAGCTGATCCTCTCCTGCTCTATATTCTTTTTCTGTACTCCCTTGAACACTCCATCTCAATATCCTCCTTCCTGCCCCATCCCTTGCAACACACACACACACACAACCCAGCCACATACACTTGATTCTATTATAATAACCATGCAGACCCCTTTCAGAAAGAATTTCTACTTGAACTGTACCTAGGAGGTGTGGCTATGGCACCACAGCCAAAGCTGTGGAAGGGGTCAGATGAACATTGAGCTCTGAAGGAAGGGCTCAGTGCACATGTATTAGTCAGATAGTATTAAAAAAAATCCTTCCAGGCCAAACATTTAGAAAACAATGAAGTGTTTAAAAGATAACACCAATAATAATTTTTATTTTATATTCTACAGAGGTACCACCGCCAAACTGTGAAACCAAACAAACCACTCAGACCAGCGAGACCCAGAGGGAAGCTTATGGGTCACGAGAGCTCCCTTCTCCATCTGGTATGGCTCCACCTTTTGGATTTTAAGATCTGTGGAAAGTGCAGGCCTCCAGGAGTTCTGTGGGGCAGAGAAGAGAGGTAGGACAGTCAAAAATCTACCTATATTTATTTTCTGTTGAGTGAATGAATAGTTAAGCCTGATACAAAAGCACTCAGACCCATTGGGGTCTGATAGGTGGACGAGGCCATTCTCCCAGTGGCCTTCTCCACTTGCCTGCACAGCTCCTGTGTCTTTCTGGACAGTACCATGCACCAAGGATGGTAACATGGTTTCCCTGCCCTGTATCGTTCCCCACCTTGTGTCTCATAGGCAGGGCTCCCACACTTAAATCCATGTAGCTGGGAGGAGTCTGGTAGGACTGTCCTCTCTGATCTCCTTAGAGAGGTGAAGAACTAATAAAACAAGCATCTAGAACATGCCAGTTTCCATGCTAGGGGCTGGAGAAGGAGCAGAGAATAGCAAAGCCAAACTTTCTCCCCTTATGGAGGATATAGGGTAGGTGAATGTAACCTACGTGCTCACAGCAGTGGCTCTGGGTAAGCACGTTCCTTACATTGGAATTATGGGGCCCTGGCACAGACTCGCTGAATCAGTATTCCCCAGGGCCTGGGAATCAGTGTTTTAAGGACCGTGGCTCACTTATATGCACACAAAAGTTAGAGCACAATCTCCCTCCATTCACATGTTCTTCTCCCACATCTTCCAAATGACTTTAAATGATTAAATGATGTCCAACATAGTAATAGTGCAAAGGTGTGTTTTATTGTATTGTAATGCTTAGAAAACCGGTGTTCTAGATGAGCAGTAGGTATGGCAACTTTATGGTTATAAAACTTGTCATTGTTCAAGCTCACAAGAGTAGCGCTGTGTAAAAGAACTTCCTACAATGATGGAAATGTTTGCTCACCTATCTGGAGCTGCGTGTAGCTATTGAACACTTGAATTGTGGCTGGTGTGGCTAAGGAACTAAATTTTTAATTTTGATTAATTTAAATTTAAATTTAAATCACCATAGGTAATTAGAGGCTACTGTATTTATTGGATGATGCAGCTCTGTATAAAAAGGAGTTTACTGCGGAGCAATGGGCATGGGCACATACAACCTCTTCCTTGTCTTAGTAATAACATGGAATTTCTTCATGTCTGGGCAGTTCATTACCTTAGTGCCCTGAGCCTGTGTCTGCCTTACCATCTATCTACCCATACAAGTAGCCTTTCACACGTGCTGGGATTACGGTGTTATCTCATCATCTCATCTTGCCCATTTCCATTGTTCATCCCCGGAGGGCCACAGCCCACTCCTCCTAATCTACCCACCACCCAGAATTGCTCCCCCTCCCTCCCCGTGTTTGCTTGGCAGCTTCCCCCCGTGCTGTTCCCCCTACTCACTCGAGGTGGAGCATTGTCTCAGGTTAGCAACAGCCCTGACATACTGTGCTCCTAAGTAAGATTCATATGTTGTGCTGTCTGGAAGTTTGGCCAAACATGTTGTGTCGTCCCTGAACAGAAGGTCCTTGGTTTCTGAGTGGAACAAACAAAACCTGCCCGGGCAGTCGATTCCACTTCTTCCAAACAAAAACTGTCAAATGGATGAAACATGAATGAGGACCTGTGGCAGTGAGCAGTTGAGAATCCAAGGACAGGGTTGAGGGGGATAAAAGCTGGGAACCAGCCCCAAGAAGAAAGGGAGCTGCAGAGGATGCCTCAGGATGTTTCCATTTCCTTCACCTGGCATTCACCCATTTTGCCCCAGCTTCATGCTTTCTTGAGGCCCCAGCATCCTCTATAGGGTCCATCCTGGTCTCACCTCCTCTGGGAAGTCCCTCCCACCCACCCGGTCACTCCTTCCCCATTTCATTGGCTATGGCCTTGGGGACTGCTTCCAGGAAATGAGAGAACAGAAATGTGTCCCTTCCAAGTATTACTGTCAAGAAAGATATTAAATGTGAGCCCCCCCCCACCCAATGAGGGGTGGTACAGGTAGTTGTTAAATTTCATGTTTGACTGCATCTTTGATCCTATCTTGGGCAAGAGGCTTAACTCTAGGCCTTGTAGGATTATAAGTGAAATCATGATTATGAAAAGTTTAACATTCCATCTAGCACCTAAGAAATGTTCATTAAATGCTAATTATTATTATCATTTACCTTAAGAGGGCTCACAAAGATATGCTATCTTAATTAAAAAGAAAAAAAGAAAACTAATGGCAGGCAGGAAGCTGTTGTGGAGGGGAAAGTGGTGTTTGTAGGTAGAGGACTCTTCTAATTAAAATATTCAGGCAGCCTCTCCACCCCACCCCCACCTCCCTGGCAAGGCTGGCCCTGGGTTGATTGTTCTCCCCAGAGGACAAGCTCCCTCAGGATAGGGATCCTGTGTTTCTCTGGCTGTTGGAATGGTTCTCAGTCTGACCTGTCCATAGGTCAGATTCTCTAAACAAGAGAAATACATTTCCTTTCATGACTTATATCATGGAGGACTGGCACACAGGATCACTCTCCTTCATTTTCAAAAAGGATAGAGGTGGAGAAAATGAGGGTACCACAGAGCAAGGTCAAGGGTGAGCAAGAAAGCAGATGTGTGGACCCAAAAGCAGGTGGATCACATGGGAACTAATCTGCAGTGACCCGGAGTTATAAGTAGAGCTGGGCCTAAGAAATCCAGTTCCACAATCCACGGCCTCCCGATCCTAGTTTCCAGAAAAAGAATGCTTGAGTATGGGCTGCACTTGGCACTGAACTCCCCCAAATCATCCATACCCACCCAGGAGGAAAGAATGGGAGGCCCTGGCTGGTCCATACCTGCTGCTGAAGTAATGTTTCCCTAACACAAGATGCCTTATCTTTCCGTGAGACCACAGCATGATTTGGGGCCCTGGCTAGGAAACAGTCAGTATTGTCTGTCACAGGCTTCCTTTTGCCATCAGGGCACAGCAGCTCAAAGTCTTTTTCCTTCAGATTCTTAGCCCAATCTTCAGTGTTCCTTCCTGGGGACAGAGAAGGTGGGTCAGTCACAGCTTACAGCTTTGGTTAAGGTGCCCTCATTGAGGGGATGTGACCAACCCACTGACTTGTGAAGGACCTGGGGCCATTGGCCAGCAGAAGTACACACACTGGGGTCACAGTGATGGGGAGAGGAAGAGACACTCACATGTCCATAGGTCAGATTCAACTCACACTCAACCAGGAATTCCTAGCAACCACTCCTTCCAAACTGCCCCACCCAACCAGGAGAAAGTGAGTTATATTCTTGGATGATGTTCAAAAACATCTTCATTTCTACTAAATTCCAAAGCATCTGGACTTCTTACTCTAGCACATGAAGAATGTGACCCTCTAAGCAGGCTGATAATCTCTGTGTAATACCATCTGGCATTAGCAAGCAAAAGAACTTAACCAGAGGCCCTTTTGCAAGCTGGACCAGTGTTCTAAATCTGACACGCTCATACTGGTTCTACATGAAAATGTGCACATGCCTCTGTGCATACGGATCCATATTCTGTTCTTAGCTCCTAGCTTCATCATTTCTGTATTCTCTCTGAAAAAAAGAAAATCTCACCCATTTTCAGGGTTTCAGCTCCTTCCTCCTGAGGCAATTCTCAAATATGTTTTCCCAATTTTTAGTTCTCATCTAAAAGGCAGGATTGCAAATCTTTTTCTTCATTTAATTTTCATTTAATTTTTTTATCTAATTGAACTACTACTATGTGACTTCACTATCATAAAATTGTATATTATATATAAAATAAAAATACCTCTTTGCCTACTCTCCCCAAATATATATTTACAGTTTTAATAGAAAACTCCAAATTGCCTGTGTCTCTCCCACAAGTAACTACACACACCTTTGCTCACCTTCTAATATTTCTCCTTCCCTTTCTTACCAGTCCCTCCAACTCAGCTCCTTCCAAATGAAACCCACCATCATTCTCGCCAAACCAATTCTGTTCCACTTCATAATGTAAGAATTTACTCAACACTATGTTTCATGCCCTCTGTAAGCCGCAGTCTTATTGGAGGGGGAAAATAGCACACATACCAAAAATAACAATTCTGGATACAGATAATAATAACATTTTATATTTTGCAGAGCACACTTTAAATGCTGTGTCAGCTGAACCAGCTTGGTGAGAACATATTCATTAGGGAGAGCTGGCTGGAGGAGGCATGGTTTTAGGCGTGTAACGTTTGTTACATGTACTAACCACTGTACTGACCACCAAGAGACTAATCTAGGCCTGACTGGCAGGGCATATGATAAAGTCCTCAATAGGGACAGAGAAGAGGAGTGGATTTTGAGAGAAATATGAGGAGTTTGGACTTACAGAGGTTGAGGTTGCAGTGCCAGTGAGCTTTGTATATAAAAATGACCACATGGCAAATAGAGGCTCTGGGATGTTATTTAGATGGGAGGTTAGGCCTCTGCTCTACATTCCTGTCAGGGGGTAAGGCTTTTGGAGTCATTGCAGGGTAGAGAGGTGAAGCCAAGAGAGAGAAGCCCTATTCAGAGGAGTAAAAAAAAAAAAAAAAATTAAGGGATAACAAAGAACCAATCTTAGGGTAACACTCAGGTAGTAGGAAAAAGGACAGCCTTTAAAGGAAAAAGCATAAATAATAGGAGAGAAGAAAGAAAAATTAGCCAACACAGTATTCCTTCAAGTAAGTACTTAGCAGCTTGTATGTGCCACTTACTATAGTTAGTGTTGGGATATGAGAGTAGGAAAAAGGAGCTCAAAAGAGTTTCTGTGGCCACAATTTATTACAGAATGAGATGAACTCAATAATACTAGCCGCAGGGACAGAAGATGCTATTGTGGGATGGATGCCATCTGAGAAGGCTTCTTGGAGGAGTCGGTGCTGAGCTAGTTCACTCTAGATGAGTTGCTGGGAAGTGCTGAGGTTGGGTGAAGGAACATGAGAAAGGAAATGAGGTAATATCTGCCTGGCCTGTAGCAGGTTCTCTAAGCAGTTAGTGATACAGAGGGGACGGGTGGAATGCTCATTCTTACCAACTTAAAAACAATTTTGTTTGGTTTTTCAGTGTCATAGCATCTAATATTCACCCACTAGTTTTAGTACCC